TCTCGTTCCAGTAGCCCTTTCCTGATTGGACTAAATTAATTGATTATATCCTTTTTTATTGCAATGGAATTGACATGTAACACTCTAACAGTCTCAGTATAACAAAATGATACATATGTATATACTGCAAAATGCTAGTTAACACCCATGATGCAGAGTTACAACTTTTTTCTTGTGATGAGAAGTCTTAAGATATATTCTCTTAGCAACTTTCAAGTAGACAAAACTATTTATTATAGTCACCATGAGTATATTAATTCTGATTATATCTCTAGTTGTTAATCTCACATAGCATTCCTCCCAATCATTTTCTGTTTAGTACCTTACCCTGTTTTTAGTTATTTCTATTGCTTGACCAAGCATACTATAAGTTCCTGTATTGCTATTGGAAATAGTGTTGATAGATGCATTCAAAGCTAAAGTTTAGAGAACACTTCTGATGAGAAAAATGATAAAATCTCCAGGAAAACTGAGTTGTCTCTCTTCTCCACAGTGATTCTGTTGCAGAGGAAATGTGATAGCAAACCCTGGAAGCAGCCACATAGTAGACAAATGTCTGACAAGTTTTTTGGGGTTTGTTGTTGTTGCTGTTATTAATATTTTTATGATGTGAACTAAATTAATAATTTTGCCACTCACCCAAGAAGACCAAGGCAAAATATTAGAGTGATTACTAACAAAGGTACCAGCAGGTCAAGTGAGGTACCGGCTATACCAGAGGAATCACTAAGGAAAAAAATGACTGGTATGTAGGCAGAGGGTCCAAGTGAGCAAAATAGAAAATAGCTGGGCCAAGGAGGAATTCATAGGGCTGCCCCAGTGGACAAGTGCATTTTTATTACATCTTAAATCTATTTGTGGTAAACAAAATAATGGTCTCCAAAAGATTTCTACACCCTAATCCCCAGAACCTGTGAGAATGCTATCTTTGTGGACCTTGCAGACTGAGTAATTATCGACCCCCAAATGGGAGATTATCCTGCTGGGCCCAGTGTAATATGAGTTCTCTTAAGAGGGGATGCAAAAAGGTCAAAGTCAGCCATATGAGAAAGAAGCAGAAAGAAAGGAGATGTCAAGATGGAAGGAAAGGGACAGGAAGAGGAGTAGGGAAGGATAGGGAAGGAGGGAGAAAGAATTACTGATTTGAGTTGTGAGGCTGCTGGCTTTGAATATAGAAGGAGGCGGCAAGGAATGCAGGTGCCTTCCAGAAGCAGGAAAAGCTAGAGAAATGGACAATTCCCCAGAGCCTCCAGAAGGAATGGAATCCTACCTACATCTTCTTTAGTTTAGCTCATTTCAGGGTTTGTTCGATTTTTACCCCCCAAACTATCAGATAATAAGTGTGTGTTGTTTTAAACCACTAAGTTTGTGGTCATTTATTCTAGCAGTAATAGGAGACTAATACACATCTTCACTGAAAAGGAAGGTTTGCCCAGAGGGTTTGTGACTGAGAGAAAACAATATATATCCAAAACATGACTGGAAGATGGAGCAAGACTAACATGCTGAAGAAATGAGAAAAAAGGTAACAGTTTTATAGTATGTTTAAAAAAAATGCAAATTTTGGCTGTGGTGATTGCTATCATTATCACCACCCCCATCAAATGGTTTGCCTTTGTTTATCTGTGATCATTTATTCATTCATTCACTCATATATGTATTTACAAAGGCTTCCTGTATTTACTATTTCAAGGAAAGGCACCAAGAGTCACCATGTTATCAGGTAATCCTTGATTCCTTCCTTCTCCTACCTTTACCTCCTCCCCAGTTTCCTACCTTACCTCAGTCACTTGACTGCTTCGAGTCACCATTATCTTTCTTCAGGCTTACTGAAACAGCCTCAACCTGTCACCACTTCTCCAGCATCCAAATTGCTTTTCAGGTACTGCAGTCACTGTGACCCTTCACAAACTACAATTGGAGGACATCGTACTACTAAACCTTAATGGTTCCCATTACCTTCAGGATTAAACCCAAACTCCTTAACAAAGCTAATAAAGTCATACAGAACCCTCACCAGTCTCACCTCATGTCTTGTCCTTTTCTGAACTTCTTTCAGACCCTGTGAGCACCTTGCTCTCTCATTTCTGGTCTCTGCACATGCTGAAGCCCCATCTCATGTACTAACAGTCTCAGCCTAACTCACTGTGACCTACCCTTCAGAGTTAATTCCTCCAAAAAGTTTCCTCTGAACCCTCTCCACAGTTTAGATTATGTATCAATATATGCTTCTATTTTTCTCTTTAAACATTTTAAAATAAGATCTCTAAGGAGGTAACATTCTCCACTTATTCCTTGTTGCAGAAATCAGTGCTAAAATTGGATGTGGACTTACTCCTTGCTATATTTATCACTAAAGAGAATATGAAAAAATAATGAACTAAATCTGTGGTGCATTCATTTAAGGAAAATGCATCTTCCAAAGCAGATGAAGATTTATAAGAAAAAGAAATAATATTCATACAGTTTAATAAAATATTACATGTTATTTGCAAAATAAACTGTTCATAAGTGTCCGCTTTTTTATTTGAAAATTTCCTTTCATTTGACAAAGATTCAATGTGAATAACAATTTTATCTTAGCATTATTAGTTTGTCATAAAATTTTGTGAACTTATGAACTTACAGAATTTTGCCTTTATATATGGACTAAAAGACTATGGAAAACATACATATACACAAACACCAGTAGAAAGAAAAGAAAAAACAAATTGTCTATTCATAGGAAATTGCTCAGAAAACTTAATGGGACATTCATACAGTGGGGATTGATTCAGTTACTTGAAAGAACAACACAGAACTATATCTACTAATATGAAAAGATGTCTGTTAACATGTTATGGGACCAAAAACTCACAGTACTTTCTAAATTGCCTGTATGTATAAAAAAGGAAAACTTCCCAACATAGTTAAATTTTTAACAGTCAATTTTATTCTTTGAATCAAAAATATTACAGTCATTCAACAAGAGAAAATAGAAGCCATTGTGCTTAAAAATCTAATCAAAGTGTGTCCCTTGCCATAGCTAATATTATATTTTCTTACAGAAAAGTTTATGTGTGTAACAGTAGGCAACAGTCAGCATTTCACCAATATCCAGCATAACCTATGATAGTCATAATACTGCAAATGCCTATGATGCTTTCAGAAGCAAATATGAAATCACATTTAGTGTACATTTTATTCCTACATTTTATTACATTTCAACTTTTTTGGAAATTAGCAATTCATTTAGAAAGTAGATGGTAACTTTGTTAAAATAACCTATTCTGTCATTCTAATGCAATGACATAAGGAAACTCTGAGTGTTTAGAAGGAAAAACAATAAAGAAATACAATCAGAATTCTGTATATTGTAAACATTACTTCTAATGTATTTCTCTACAGAACTTACATTTCAATTAACAGGAAAAACTCAAAATGAGACAAGCTGACAGACTCAAGTTTTCTCTTTTCTATTGAGAAAACTCAAGTATTCTATTCTTTCTAATTCTATCAATACAACACACGATTTTCGGTTTGTAGAGGTGTGCTTCTGAAATATAGAGAGCAACAAGTAACAAGTAACAGAGAAGGAGGCAGAGAAAGAGACAAAGGCAGGCATATTACATGAAGAAAGTAAAATTTTGACAATACATTAACCTTAACCCTTTTCTTTCCTCATCAATAGTCAACTTGAAAAAACATTTGAAATAACTGAAATTTCTGCTCTTATCTCCAAACTTAAATTGAGATATACCACACCAAAAAATAGAATAGTGAGTAAGCAAAAACTAAGCAGAAAAATACAAACTAGGAAGTATTACTTCTGAACTGACCAATTCTGCAAAGATCACTGGGCTTAGTTTTTAGTAATATAAATTATTGACATCATTCTCTTAACACACACTTTGGTTCACACCACGATTTATTTCTCACTGTTTTTTAATCTATACTCTAAATAAACCCACACCACGGCAGAAATGAATGTGGGCGATACAAACAACTCTATTCAGATAAGTTGCTTAACGCTAAGAATATAAATGCAACAGTAGTGAGACAAAAGGTGAACGGATGATGAAATGAGATCGATACCAAGATACCGAATGCTGGGGCAGAGCTTAGTAGGTGATTCTCTGAGTTTTAGTTTCCTCACCTATAATAAGTAAATAAGACCAACTGTATTCCAGGAGTATTAAGAGCAGTTTAACAATCAGATAAGCATCTAGGAACAGTACCTGGCTCCCACTAGGTAAAACTGCATTTGTGTATTTAGTATGTTTTAGACACTGCTTTAAATGGTGCATATGTATTAACGTAATGAATGATAACCATCACCAGCACTGCTTTCACCGTTGTGCTGCTCTCCACCTTTGGGGATAGCTCAAATCTAAATCCAAATTAAAGGGCGCAAAATTAATAAAAGCCATGTGTTGGGCACTGTACGACACTAGTTACATGGATTATTTCACTTAATCCTCACGACAACCCTGGTGTCAATAAAACGGCTACTATCATTAGCCCTCTTTTACAGATTAGGAAATACAGGGTCAGCCAGATTAAATAACTTGCTTAAGGTCACACACCAAGTAAGTCTGATTTTTTTTTTTCCCCCCAAAAGATTTATCTATCTATGCATACAAGAGCTGGGGTACCGGCCAGAGATGGGGGGGGGGGTGAGAGGACTCAGCAGAGGCAGAGTGGGAAACAGAACAGGCGGATCTACTGAAACACACTGCTGAGGGGAGCAGCGGGCGAGCCAGGAGAGGTCTGCCGTGCCATGTGGGTAACTCCCTGGCAGGTCTGGGCTCAGACTCAGGCTGCGGATCGCTTCCTAGAGCGGTGCTTCACCCTTGCCCCTGGCGCCACCGGGGAGGCCCTAAGTCAGTCTGATTTCAAAGCCTACCTGCTTAGCCATTCCAAACACTAAGAAGAAATGAAACGTCTAGCTCCGCGGTGTCAAAATAGCGGAGACGCCTGATTGTCAAAGTCCACTGGTTCTTAACGAATTTGTGGAACCGATGAGTCAGGCCTCGGGAATCAGGATCGACGCCAGAAAACTCTCACCAGAGTTTCCACGTTTTCTTTCAAATCAACCGCAATCTCCTCCCCAAAGGAATCCGAAGCGTGCAGAAGAATTCCGATTTCTACTCATTCACGCGCCGAGACAGGCGGCCCGGGGCAGTGCTCAGCGGCCCGGCCCGGTCCAGACCCCCAAGCAAACCCCGAACTTCCACCCAGACGGGCCTGGGCCGGCTCCCCGCAGCCACCGCCGCGGAGCGCTCGGCCCCGCACGGCTTCTCGGCTTGAAGCGATTCGACAGGAACGCGGGGAAACGACTCCCCTCCGACGCCCTGCGCAGCCGACGAGCGCCCCCGCCCCACCCCGGCGCGGCCCTCCAAAGCCAGGGCGCCGGCGAACCCACACCGCGCGGGCCCCGCCATTACGCCCCTCGTCGCGCCTCGTCGACCCCACGCGCCGGCACCTGCCGCCCCCTGACCCCCGACCCCGCGACCCCGCGCGCCCGCTCCAGCGCCCCAGGGAGGGCGGGCGCGGGCCCGAGCGCCTTCGCCTCACCGCCCCGGGAGCCAATCGCAGCCCGCGACGCCCGCCGCGGGCCAATCGCGGCGCGCCTCGGACCCGCAGCTCGAGGCCCCGCCGAGCCCCGTGCGGGACTGCGCGGCGCCCGGGGACGCCCGGAGGCCGCGGGCTGAGGCGCGGCAGCCCTGAGGAGGCGCGTGAAAGTTCGCGGAGCCGGCCAGCAGGCAAGACGGGGACGTACTCACCCGTCTGGGCGCTGGAGGGTCACTTCTCCCGGCGGGGCGACATCGCGGCTCAATCTGTGCCGCCGGCCGTCACGCCCCTGACCGGCCGTCGCCGCGGCCGCCGCCTCCTTGGCCTCAGGGCTCGCGGCAGTTAACCGCCGCCTGTTTCGAAGGAACCAATCAGAAGGCGCGGGGGCGGGGCTGGGGCTGGAGGCCACGCCCCCGGGCCGCGGGAGCACGCGACCTGCGCGCGCTTCGCTGTCACCCGGCAACGCCCGTCTTCCACCGCCCCGAGGCCCCCGCTGCGGGGGCCGACCCCCCTTTTCTCTGGGGAGCAAAGTGACTTGGCCACAGAAAAGAGGGTCCCTTCGGGCCCGTCAGCGACTGCAGCAGCCCCTCCGATTTGTCCAACCTGGCCTGTTAGGACTGCCTCTTAGCGTCCTGGAATGTGGCCATCAGTTGTGTCCTGCCAAGTGCCCGTCCCAGCTCTGGCATCACTGGGGGCCTGATCCGAAAAAGCCTTGGTGTCTGGAGACGCAAACTGTCACCCAGCAGGAAGGAGAGCCCTAAGTAGTGCTTTCAGAGAGAGCCCCCCTCTTCCCCTGAGGGGTTAGCGTGAGGGATCAAGATGAATGTTTTTCCCCTGGTAAAGGGGGGGAATGGATTTGGGGGGGCGGGAAATTGTCTATTGATGTGCCTTTAATTATTTTACATCTTTAAAATTCATTTTACGATTGCATATGTTTTCTAAAGGGGTGGGAATCAATCAAGCATAACTTGAAACTGCAAAAAATTAAAAAAAAAAAATTAAAAAAAAAGAAGAATCCTGTAGTTCCAGGCCACAAAGGAGGATGTTGGTGCTTCCTACAGGAAACATAAGCGCCAGGGGAAGTGGGGGCAATTAACTCAACACAATGAGTGATGATGCTTACCAGCTCAGAGGGTTGAGAGAAAGCAGAGACCCACCCGAGCATGTGAAAAGAGGGGGGGCCTGTGATAACTGCAGATGTGGTTTGCTAATGAGGGGTGGGCAGTAGGGTAAGGCGGTGGAATTAATGGCCGAAAACCAGGAAGCCCAGGCACTGCCCTTCCAGTTTTATTAGTTTTTGTAAATCACAGCACCTCTGTGGGCCTCAGTTCCCCCATCTGTAAGGTGTGTAGATTGATCGGAATAGCCTGGAATAATTGGTTCTCTTTAACATTTATTTCTTCATTCACTCAACAAAACAATGAGGAGGTGGGGCTGCTTGCTGAAGTGAATCAAAGGAAGAAAACAGCCCCTGCCTTCAATGAGTTCAGCAGCTCGGCCCTAAGAGGAAGTCTGGAGGCCAAGTGAAGAGGGAACATATAACAGTCCTGGGGGTGGTGGCCAGAGGGTTGAAAGGAACTGAACTCTGAAGGATGATTAGGAATCTGCCAAGAGACATAGTGTTTGCCAGGCTGAGAGAACAAGGGTCCAGAAATGTGGAAGCAGCCAGAATGTTAGTTGAAAGAAGATAGTTGAAAAGTTAGATTTGACGCTGTTTAAATTGGTTGGTTGGAGGAGACAATTCAACAAATATTGGGCACTTGCTCTGCTCCAAGCTCTGTCTTAGACATGGGAATCCAGCTTTCCCAGAGCTTCCATTTGGGGGTGGATGGATAGGTGAAGGTGGTCATCAAATGTTGATGTGTAAGTGGTGAATGACCCTGGTATCTGTAGTGGTTACTCCTTTTTATCAACTGAAGTGGATCCTAGAACATTCTGCTGCCCATGACTCAGTGGAATGATCTTCCCAGGACCTGTTGTTCAAATGGACCAATGTTTGGTAGTGTTTCTATTTAAAACTAAGGGCAGTTTGTCATACCACTCATTTAGCCAAATTTTGAGTCCAGTTATGGCTTTAAATTAAGTTGTTGAACCCTAACATCAAAATACGTATGCTTCTCAACACAACCTTAAGGTCAGTTGTGTTATACAGGTCTTATTTGAAGAATCACTAGTTGTTAATACTCCTTTGTTTCTTCTTAGACACACACTATCATAAAACATTTGAACTCCATTTGTTAAAAAATGAAATTATGCAATGTGACGTACAAGCACATCCCTACTCACATACACACCACTCAATAGTTCTAAGCCATTCAGAGTAACTGGCAGATTACTTTCCTTTTTGTTTTCATTGTCTATTTGGTTTGTCTTGGAAACTTCAAAGTTCACATGCCTTATTTGTTAAAAGTGGGGAACTGGGCGAAGGGTTCTTTTCTAGAGTTTTTGACTCTTGTTGCTTTTCCCTTCTGTATAAAAAAGAAAAAAGTCCTTTTTGTTTTCTCAAGCTCACATTACATTAATTCCCAGTTAGTACCCACTCTCTAAGCACATTCGCCCAGCACACTCGCCCTCTTACCTATCTTGATTTTAACACTGCAATTAGTAATTAAGGGTTCCACCTAATGAGCTACAATCTACTTTCATGTGTAGATTTTCTAATTGGTGGTTAGGTTAATAACCATATTTTAGAGGTTCCCCTTTACTTGAAATTAGCATGGTTGTAACATGCAGAGCAAGCCTCACCAGTTTGCTTCCAGCAGATGACAAAGTCTATCCTATTCTAAACTTCCCCGAATTGTGAACATGTGTCCCACTTTAAGGAAACATAGTGCTTGGAAATCTAAAGTCTTTAAGTTATTAGATTAGTAATAACCGTTTATCTGACTACACAACTCCACAGAATACAGAAGAGTCTCTCATAATCATATAACTCTTGGATATTGATATGATTTGGTTTTCTCACAGCCTTATAAGATTGCACTATTGCTTAAAGTATAGCTGTTGGAGATTTTATTTTTTTGCTCTTTCATTTATTAGTTGTTTTGTTTTGCATTTTGTAGCTGCTGCTTTTGTTGTTTTTGATATCTCGACATTATTGACCATCAATCCACAGATTGTGCCTTCTGCAATCTCTGGGCAATAAAGAGAATTGGGCAATAGAATCTCTGGGCAATAAAGATCTTGATTCATGCAGTTAAACTTATTCAGTAATTTAATTAACTTAATTTCATTCAAAAGAGAGTCCAGAAGCTGGGGCTATCACTGCTGGGGTAGGACTTGCCCACTAGGAGATGCGATCATTACCCAAGATGCTGCCTGAAGCAGAGTGGGCGGGAGAAACACCCTGACTTTTCCCTTTGTCTCCTCCAATTTCCCAATAGTGCCTTCCACTGATCTAACCTGCCTTCACAGGGGAATATATAAAATGCAGGATTAGCCTCTCTGCTAATATGAGCAGAGGCAAGGGGAGGGATCATTGATCTGAGCATAAATAAGATACATTATTTAAGTTTTTGTGGTGACAATGCTATATAACAACTCCCAACTCTCAGTGGGTTACAGTAACAAACATTGGTTTTTCTTGCTTGTGGATCTGCAAGTTAGCTCATTGTGGAGGGGAGAGGGGCAGTGCTTCAAGCTATAGGTTGGATTTAAGTCTGTTCCTTCCAGTTCTCATTCTGGGACTTGAAACTATCCAAGACATGCTTTCCTCGTGGCAGCCTGCAAAGTGCAAGAGCAGCAAACAGAAGCATGTGATGTCTCTTAAAGCCTCAGCCCAGAACTGGCACACTCACTTCCACCCACATTCCATTGCGCAAGGCAAGTCACATCGCCAAGCCCAACATCAATGGCCCAGGACATATATTCTGCCACTCTTGTGAGGGGCACTACAAAAGCAAAGGCTCTGGGGGCCTCCCCTGGTGGCGCAGCGGTTGAGCGCTGGGCTGCGAGGATGCCCGCGGCCTCTGCAGCGCCGGTTCGTTCCCCAGCCGCTGGCAAAGGTCCCACCAAAAATAAAAAAAAAAAAGCAAAGGCTCTGGGCAGATAATTCTATGGTAGGGAGAGTATGAAGAATTTGGAACAGTAATACAATACACAAAAGTAAATAACTAGCACCGTCTACCCCTAAAAATGTTCCAAGCAAAATACCTCCTTTCCTCTGAGTGGGTCATGTGCCCAGTCCTAAACCAATCACTGACCTAAGATGTACAATACTTTATGGCTCTATGGCTATGTCATGTTTCCAACTCTGAAACTGGGGGTGGGATAAACTCCATCCCCAAGGACGACGAGAAGAGAAGGGGACAGTTTCCCTGAGGAAATCAGAATAATTCTACCAGAAAGAAAGGAAGGGATTCTGTGTGTCCAAAAAACAATAGCTACCCACTACAGCAACAAACCCCCACATGTGAGATGTGGCAATTTACTGAAGTAATTTAATGAAGTCAGTTTCTGATGCTCAATAATAAAGAATGAAAACAAAACTTCAAAAACAGTTGCTCATCTAAATAGACACTTGTCCAAAGAAGATATACAGGCACCATATACAGATGGCCAATAGGCACCTGTAAAAATTATCTCTATCATCAAGGAAATGCCAATCAAAACCACAATGACATACCACCCGACACCCATACAAGGGCCCATATCAAAAAGACAAGAAAGGGTAGAAGTTGGCAGAGGTGTAGAGAGATTTACGTAGGCACTTAGGCTGTTTCCATAACTTGGCTATTGTAAATAGTGCTGCAATGAACATAGGGGTGAAGCTAAGCCTTCAAATGAGTGTTTTGTTTTCTTCAGGTAAATAGGAATGGAATTGCTAGATTATGTGTTAGATCTATTTTTAATATTTTGATTTTTTATATACTTATTTCTTATCTCCTTTACTAGATTGTAAATTGCATGAGAGCAGGTATCCTATCCAGTTTTGTTCACTACCATCACTCCACTACATCAAAGCTGAAGAGATGTTTTGAAATAAACCACAAGCAATATCAGCTTATGACAGTCAGTTTTATTAATAGTAGTAGTAGTAGTAATAGCTACCATGGGGGCCTTAATCACCAAATTGTCATGAGTCACCAAATTATTGTTTATTTTTCAAACACTAAGGTTTAACCTCACATCAACCCTGGTGGGAATAGCATATTGTCCACATTGTGGACAATGTATATATATGTGTAAGAAAACTGAGGTTTAGAGAAGTTAAAAAGGTTTTTTAAAAGAGATTTGAAAAAGGCGTAGAGAGGTTAAAAAAGTTTTCTCAGGGTCACATGCCAAAGTGCTGGCAGATCCTCTTCTGTGATACTTCTATTAATGATACACATTTTCTGACCTTAAATAAAATGGCCAGATTCTGCCATTTTATTTATAGGTATGATATCCAACAACAAATATTTACTGTGCTTTTACTATTTCTCTTGTTCTTTGGCTTTTGTTAAAGTCTTACAAAAATTCTAAAAAAAAAAGACCCATTAGTGACCCATTATACTCAGGTTTAGCACCAATATATGGGGTTTTCTCCATATGCACACCAGTTCTGATTCCAGGTGGAAGTCTCACAATTCAATTCTGACACTAACTACCTGGAGTTCATGCAGACCTAAAGGTTAGGGGCTTAGTCCCAAAGACTGTCCCTGCCCATGAGTCCCAGGCTGTAGCCAGTACTTTTTTTTTTTTTAAGATTTATTTTATTTATTTATACAAGAACCAGGGTACAGGCCAGATTCACGGGAGGGTGAGAGGATTCACCAGAGACAGAGTGGGGAACAGAAAAGGCAGATTGACGAAATACACTGCTGAGGGGAGCAGCGGGAGAGACAGGAGAGGTCTGTCGCGCCATGTGGGACCCTCGCAGGCCGGGATCGAACCGGCACTGCAGAGGCTGCAGACAGCTTCACAGCGCTGCACTCAACCGCCTGCGCCACCAGGGGAGGCCCTGTAGCCTATACTTGTGATCAACTATGATTGGATATCATACCTAGGGGTGTCCCCACCACCCTCTCTTCAACTTCAATAATTTGCTGGTATGGCTCATAGAACTCAGCAAACAAACAAAAAACCCAGACAGTTTACCACTGTTGTCAGTTCATTTCATAGAATACAACTAAAGAACAGTCCAATGAAAGTGGCAGAGGGCAAAATGCAGATAGAGTGCAGGTGGCAGGAGGGCATGGGCTTTCGTGCCTTCTCTGGGAATGCCAGCCCCTGATATCTCAACCCAGAAGCTCTCCAAAGCCTGTTGTTTAGGGGGCTTTATAAAGTTGCATCACACAGACACAACTGATTACCCATTTGTGACCAATCTCACTCACCAATCTGGAGGTCTGAATGGGGCACTGAAAGTTCCAACCCTCTAAACACATGGTTGGTTTCTCTGCCAAACATCCCCCACCCTGAAACATCTAGGAGACTAAAACCACACATTTACTTTTCTGCTTTAAAAGCCCTTTCTCATTACCCGCCTCCCCTGGTGGACCTGCAGCTTCCCACTTGGCTCTCCATTCATCAGCTAAATCCTGTTAGATAGTAGGTGCTGCTATTTTTATTTTACAGTAGTAACACTGAGGCTTAGCAAGGTTTTGTGCACCCTCTCTCTCTCCTCCCAGATTACTTGTGGTCTTCAAAATTTGCACAACTCCTTACTTCCCTCCTCTTGATACTGCTACCCCCTTCACCTTGAATCCCATAGAAGTCCTGGTTTTCCTTCTGAACAAGGGAAGGGGTGTAATACCACCTTCTTGAAAGTTTCCCCATGAGTCCACATTCTCTCCTCTGCATTTCTTTAAAGCCCCTCCAGGTAGTTACTATGTTAATCAACTTTGTATGTCCTGTGGAGTCAAGGAAAAAAAAAATTCCTGTACTTAGTGTGGACTTAAGATATTTTTGTTGTAATAAATGGAATCCAACTGATGTTACCTAATTCACTCCTTTTCCTACTATAATATTTTTAGGACTTCAGGGTTGTCCTAGTGTTTTAATACAAAAAATCCCTCTGCCGGCTAAGCAAGCTCCTCTTTGGCTGACTTCAGGGGAAAGGAAGATAAAAGCCCATTCCTTATAGAAGGTGTTTTATTGTATTCACCAAAGGATAATGGGGAGAAGAATACAACAGTGTAACAATGAAGGAAGGAAATGAACTAATTCCTGCTTTGGGGGAAATATACAACAGCTGTGTACCCAGCTGTAGGAGTGCTTTCCAAAAGCAAAAAAAAAAAAAGAACCAAAAAACCCCCTAAACACAACAACAAAAAAAGATTAATTATATGCACTGATGCCAACAGTGAACAGCTTTAAGAGAGGAAATCTCTTTAAGGGGGAATATCTCAGTCTGGAGTTATATATATATTATACTCTGAGTTTGTAAGAGCTACTTCCAGACAGACTCTACAGACTCTAATTATGAAAAGGGATTGCTTGAGGGTATATTTTATAGAGAGAATCATTAACTTTTCTATATGTTATTCTAGTTGCACACTCCAAAGAAAATTAAATCATCACAGGACTTTTACAAATGAATGTATATTCACCAAGGCTACTCCAGGGATGAGAAAAGTGTCTTTTATGTTGTGAGAATTTATTTACTGTAAATTATCCCCTTGGGCTCAGTAGGCTGTCATTCATCATTTAAAGGAATAAGAATTCGAATATTTTTCAAATTTTGTTCCCAAAGAAAAGCCTGTTGCCTTTATGTTGGGTTTATTGCCAAAATTGAACACAACTCTTTAATAAAATATACACACTAAGGTAAGATGAAGAGCAAAATTTTCCCAACTTTGATGGAATTAAAATAACAAACAATTTAGCTTGGCAAACAGGGCATGCCAATTAAAATGAAAGATTCCCTAAAGCTTTATAAAATATAATATAGAGAAAGTAATTCTATCTAGCCTCCTATTTACAATTGTGGAAGTTATATAATTACTACATAAATATCCATCAAAATTCCCTGTGAAGCCAGGTACAAATGAAACTAAGGAAAGTTATACATCAAATTTATATGAGAAAAATAAAGAGATGGCCCCTGCTCCGTGATACTCATCACTGAACATCCCAGATTTCACAGAGAAGTGGGGTAAATTTGTGGTCGTTCACTCTCCACGACATGAGCATTTCTGCATGGTGATGATTAAATGTCCGCAACTCAGTCAGGCGACCCAGGAGACAGGCAAAATGTTGAGGGTTTTCAGGCTGATGAATCTTGCACAACTTTTGTAGCACATCAAGCAGTGGTTCCTGAAGCTTCTCTACAGCTTCTCTGTCTTTTATGTATTGTCTGTCTGTTTTGAAATTTAAAATAAAATGACCAAAAAAATCGAAAAGCATTAATTTGGCATAACTATAGTGATGCTGTTTTGAAATATCTTACAAATGTGCACTTAAAAATATAAATTAAGTGTTCAATGTGATGCATTTTACACTCAAATATACACATTAGCTATATACATGCAACTAGATACAGTTTACTGCTCAGCCCAGAAGCCTCCCTAAATTCTCCTTCCAATCAAAAGCCCCAAAGGTCCACCCACACATCATTTCCAGTGTATATATTCCAAGGAGTGGAGTTGCTGGATTATAGGAATATACACATGGGTAACTACTAGGTACTGCTAAAATATTTTTCTTTTTGTAGCTATATTTTTTATGGCAAAAAAATAAAAATAACAACTATCTCCTGCCTCAATATCATATATAAAACTTGAAGCTATCATTGTGATTATGTTTTACCAGTCATGAACATGGTATCCCTTACTTCCAAGTAATTAAAGTAATCTAAAAATGTTGACAAATTTTATATACACAGGTATTCATTTCAACATTGTTTAAAACAAACAAAAATGGGGAGATCCTGAATATCCAAATATATGGCAAAAATTAAGTAAATGATTGTGTATCATTACAATTAACTATCAGGCACATATTGTATTCTCTGTTATAAAATACATAATTGCATGCAGGTTGCTATTCAAATATCAACAATTGCTTCAAAAAGTCTTCCCTGACTGTAACAGGGTGGTCTCAGGAAAAGGGAAGTTTCCAGTTTCCCTGCCACACCCAAGGAAGGGTGGAGCTGAGCAGGGAGAAGCTGGAGAGGACTCAGAGAAGGTAGCAGGATGGAGAGTCAGAAGGAGACCTGGAGGAGGCACTTGGGTCAGAGAGACATGTGCAGAAGCTGCCCTTGCTTCTCAGTCTTGGACTGGTTGAAAGAGATGTAGGTGAGAGACCCATGTGGAGGTTAACAGTGGCAGCTTTTATCTTGATTTTCATTTTGCTCTTTTCCTCCCAGACTTGTTTGGCTGTTTCTGGACCCTTTTCCATGGGTTCCTGCTGGAATGTGCCTGAGACTGTGGCAGGCTTGAAGGCCTCAGTGACCTTGCTTTGGGCCAAGCCTGTTTGGCTGGGTATTTACCCATGTCAGGATGGGTAAATTGGGGTGCTTGATTTGGAAACTTTATTCTTCCTCTTTTCTCTGTTGCACACTAATTGTATTAAAGTTCCTGTCCACTAACGGTCTTACAGGTTTTTGTCTTCATGTGGCAGAAGGCAGAGCAGAACGGTTTGGCTGGGTTGCCCCCCACCCTGCCCTGTAATGTGACCACTAATTAAAATACCATCTTCTGCCATTTTCTTTCCAACATCTGCATCTTTATAAGTTCTCTAATACTTACCACCTCCTTTTGTTTTTTCATTTATTGTCTTTCTCACCCTCCTAGAATGTAAGCACCATGTAGTTGAAACCTGCCTGTTTCTTTACTGTCATAACCTCAATATGTAGAACCATGTTTAGCACATAGTTGGTGTTCAGAATAAATTTATTAAATGAGTAAGTGTAAGATTTAGGGGGAAAGCTGAGAGAAACTACATTGAAATGTGAACAATGGTTCAATGTGAGTGGTGGGATCATAGGCCATTTTACCTTTATTTTTGTGTTTTTCCAATTTTTCTTTCATAAATAAGATTACTATTATATTGTGGGAATAGGTGGGTAGGAATGGGATAAAAATGTAACATTGAAATTACCTGGAGAGAAGATGACAATTGCTGTAAGCAAAGCATACTCTTCTTGAGTCATTTTTAGTTCTCCAACACTTTTATAAAAACTAAACATAGGTGTTATATATTCATCAGAGATACCTATGGAAGAATGTTGAAATATTGCAGAGGATTAATAAAATTTTTCAATGTCTGAAAAGTATAAAACCACAAATACATTACATATATACACATTGATATTTATTCACATAAACACATATTCAAATATTCCTCATAACATGTCCCAGTCATAGGTAGGGCATTGTAAAGAAGGTCAATGAACAAAATCCTCAAAATATAGCCATTTCAATGATTTGTGTGTCTTTGATTTTGTTTCAGTTACCACTGTCTGACAATAAATAATGTTCCTGAATTGTCAAAAGAATCTTTGAACTTCATGGAGTTTAATCTTAAAGATTACTTTCTAGAATGAAGTTATAGATAGATCTTAACCAACCAACAGAAATCATTATTATTCAGTCAAGAAGTATAAATAACTCCATTAATAAATTGGCTAGGATTCTTATTAAAGAGTTGCAACCTGGGCCTCCCCTGGTGGCGCAGCGGTTGAGCATTGGGCTGCGAAGCTGCTGCAGCCTCTGCAGTGCCGGTTCGATCCCTGGCCACCGGGTGAGGGTCCCACATGGCGCGCAGACCTCTCCTGCTGCCCGCTGCTCCCCTCAGCAGTGTACTTTGGTCAATCTGTTATAGGACAGAGAGAGGGGCAGCCCAGACCCCCACAAACCTGCCTATTCTAAATGGGTTCTGCCATCCGCCGCATCAACACAAAACATATGACACTTTAATGGGAAGGAACTTTAATAAAAACTAGAAAACAATACAGGTAAGGCAAAGAGTCTAGTTTCTAAATGAAGCACCCAAAGTTACCCATCCCCTCGTGGGTAAAAGTCCATCCATATGGGGTCGGCCCAGAGCAAGGCCCCAAAGCCTGCCACAAGTCTAAAACATCTTCCAGTGGGGACCCACAGAAAAGGGTCACAAACAACCAGACAAGCCCGGAAGGAAAAGAGCAAAATCAACATCAAGATAAAAGCTGCCATTGTCACCTCCCCACGGGTCTCACCCACATCTGTGTCACCTAGTCCACGACCAAAAGACAAGCGCAGTTTCTTCACGTGTCTCTAGGCTCCATGTGCCTCCTCCAGGTCTCCTTGCTCCATCCTGCTTCCTTCCTTAGTCTCTTCTGCAGCTTCTCCTCTTCCTGCTCAGCTCCACCCTCCCTTGGGTGGGGCAGGGAACCTCCCCCTTTCCTGGGGACCACCCTGTTACACTTCTGCCTGCTCTGTTCCCCGCTCTAGCTCTGAGCTCTGGTGAATTCTCTCACCCTCCCACGCTTCTGACTGTACCCAGTGCTTGTAAAAATAAATAAATAAATCTTAAAAAAAAAAAAGATTAAAAAAAAAATAAAAAATAAAGAGTTGCAACCTTTCTCTCAAGTTCCAAGCCTATACATTGCATACTTACATTGGTACTTAGCTATTCTCATCAAACTCAATATGTGCAATATCATGTGCATGTAAAGAACTCAACTCCCCATTTTCCTCTAAATCTACCCTTTGTCTGGTGTTTCCATTCTCAGTGAATTATATCCTTGGCCACCGAGTTGACCCCACCTGACAGCTGAGATCCAGTCCTCCATCTAACTTAAGCGTTGACTACTGTTGATTCAACCTGCTACGTCACAGTTGGCATTCCCATTCCTCTCCACTGCACCCGGCATTGACTCAGTTTAAGGCCCTCTTTTCCTCTGGATTATGGCAATTGCCCCCCTTTTTTTAATTTTTTTAAGATTTATTTATTTATTTATACAAGCACTGGGGTACAGTCAGAAGCGCGGGAGAGTGAGAGAATTCACCAGAGCCACAGCGGGGAACAGAACAGGCAGACTGACGAAGTACACTGCTAAGGGGAGCAGCAGGCGTAGCAGGAGAGGTCTGCGTGCCATGTGGGCCCCTCGCCAGCGGCCGGGATCAAACCAGTGCTGCAGAGGCTGCGGGCAGCTTCACAGCCCAGCGCTCAACCACTGCACCACCAGGGGAGGCCCGGCAATTGCCTCTTCACTGGTCGTGGTGTTCAGTTTGTTCCCCTTCAGCCCACCTGAGAATAATCTTTCTAAAATTCAAAGTTTCTTGGTTCTTGCAAACCTTTAAAAACTCTCTATAACTTTTGGTATAATTTTTCTTCCTTTTATACAGAAAACTCTGGAACCTGACCTGCCTTCCCTACCTCCTGCCATTTACCCACATGATAATAAGTTCACATATATTAAGTACTTTTTTATGAATTAAGCACTGTTCCAAGTAATTCTTATATTATCATTCATTTAATTTAACCCCCCCCCCGAAAGATGCACAGAGGTTTTATAAATGTACAAAAACATAGAGCTGGTGAGACATGCAACCAGGCTTCAAACCAAAGCTGGCAGATTCCAGAGAACTAAGCTGTGTGGTCTTTTTATCACACAGCCTTTACTCCGGCCATATTCAGTCACTTGAAGTTTCCTAAACAATTCACACTGCCTACATTTTGTACATGTTCTGTCTACTTGGAATACCCTCCTTCTCCTTTATCTAGCTTACTCCTCTTTGCAATTTAAAATTTCTTTGTGTCACTTCCTCCACTCACTCGACAAATATCAGTTTGGTGCCTGTTCTGCACGTGGCTCTATTCCAGAAGAGCTCTGACTGGGGAATTGTGGAGGCAGGAGGGAAAAATAGAAGACTGTGATGTGATTTATGAATGAAAAGAAGAGGATGAGTTTCCCAGGACTGGTAAATAGAACAGACTGCTCTCTTCCATCCTAAATCAGACCTAGAGCCTTCGAGCTTTGTCCTAACTAATCCAGACTAAAATTGGATTCCAGATGCTAAGAGCTTAATAGTCATCTAATATTACACTTCACAAAATCTGAACGTCTGAATCCTCACTTATAGAAGTATCTGACACTCTTCCCCAGCTGGTTACTTATGCATGTTGTAAAGGCCAACAGTGAACATAGAGAAAGTGTAGAAAACACAGCAGAAGGAGAGTTAAATTTTTTTCCGACAGGATACATCAAATACAAATTTGCTCTTGGAGTCAATAATCACCATTGACCACACCAGCATGAGCAAAGGGGTGTCTCAGTGTATCAATACATGAACAAGCAATTTCTAACCTAGGAAATGTAATGCAAACATCACCCTAGAGAGACAGTCTTTGCCTGTTTTCCTGCTTCCCCTTTCTGGAGACGTGCTTAAGGTTTGCTTCATGTTTGCGCTTAAGCCCAAATAGCTGATTTTTGGTCACAAGGGGGGGCTATTTTCTAACTTAACCACACAGACTGCCAAGGAAATGTTCAGTTGTGAAAAAAAAAGTCTCTTCTCTTCCCTTTCTTATTTGTTTTTCTTAAAAAAAAAAGGGGGGGGATTATCACTGATAAATTAATTGTTCAGTAATGAGAAATTTCTTTGAGAGAATAACCATGTGATTAGAATTAATGCTATAATTTCAAGTTTTAATTTTAAATGTAAATGTCTTTTATTACCTGATTAACTTTCTAGTTTTAAACTGGGGACAAAAACAAAGCACAGATTTGCTTATGTGCACATTATATACAAGTGCGCATATTATACAAGACATACTTCCTAGCACTTTAAATACCGTAATATGATTTATTAAAAGAGGCAATCAGACTGAGAATCTTGTTTGCTATTTGGTCAGAACCACTAAATTTGACTTTTTTTTAGAAATGACACTGGTGCATAGCAAAGAAGTTGAGGTACAAGGCATGTAAGGTACACGGTATATAAGGTGATGTTTGCCTTGGGTTTTCCTTTCAAACTAAGGTCTCTACTTTCTGGTAGTTTTCTTGTAAACTAATGACTCCAATTCTTCTTGGATCCTGAAGCCCATTCAGGTGGTTGTCTATTTGACCAATGGAAGAGGTCATCACTTTTTCCCTTTGGTTATTGTTGTATCCAGAAATGACAGCTAGAACTGCAGTGGCCATCAGGTAACCATGAGGAGAGCCAGCCTGAGGGTAAAGCTGATACACCAAGGACAGTCAAGCAGAAAGACAGAAAAAGACCTGATATTTCTGATGGTAGGTTGGGTGTCTGACTTAACTGGATTTTTCATTTGACTCAGTACATTTCCTTACTTTATTTTTTTTAAAGATTTATTTATTCATATATACAAGAACCCGGATACAGGTCAGATGTGCAGGAGGGTGAGAGGACTCACCAGAGACAGAGTGGGGAACAAAACAGGCAGACTGATGAAATACACTGCTGAGGGGAGCAGCGGTTGAGGCAGGAGAGGTCTGCTGTGCCATGTGGGTTTCTTGCTCGCCGGCCGGGATCGAACCCGTGCTGAAGAGGCTGCGGACAGCTCACAATGCTGGGCTCAACCGCCTGTGCCACCAGGGGAGGCCCACATTTCTTTATTTTTTAATTCTATGTTGAGCTGGATTTTCTGATACCATCAAACAAGAACATCCTTACTGACAGTTCCCCTAACAAGTGAGATATATTTTCATGTCTTCCTGCTTTTGTGCTGAAATATAAGCAGGATCCTTAATAGGCTAGCACACCACCCATGTTTCAAGACCAAGTTTGAAAATGAAAATGAGAGGGGTTAAGAATTGTAAACTTGAGGGCATCCCCGGTGGCAAAGGTGGTTGAGCACCGCACCCTGAAGCTGTCCGCAGCCTCTGCAGTGCAGGTTCGATTCCCGGCCGGCCAGGGAGAATCCCACATGGTGCGGCAGACCTCTCCTACCTCACCCACTGCTCTCCTCAGCAGTGTATTTCAGTCAGTCTGCCTGTTCTGCTCCCAGCTCTGTCTCTGGTGAATCTTCTCACCCTCCCACGGCCTGTACCCCAGCTCTTGTATAAATAAAAAAAATCTTAAAAAAAAAAAGAATTGTAAACTTGAACTTAAACACTTACTTTTCTTCTATTTTCTCATGTATTTGTTTATATTCACAACCTTTCAACTTCATTAGAAAATACACAGTTAGGCCTCCCCTAGTGGTGCAGCAGTTGCGCGCTGGGCTGCAAAGCTGCCCGCAGCCTCTGCAGCGCCTGTTAGATCCCCGGCCATGAGGCGAGGGTCCCACATGGCGCACAGACCTCTCCTGCCACGCCTGCTGCTTCCCTCAGCAGTGTATTTCATCAGTCTGCCTGTTCTGTTCCCCACTCTTGCTCTGGTGAATTCTCTCACCCTCCCGCGCTTCTGACTGTACCCAGTGCTTATATAAATAAATAAATCTTAAAAAAAAAAGAAAATATACTGATAATTCTTAATAACTGTTCATTCTGTGCAAGTTGTCAAGGTTAAAAGCAGTGAAGTCAGATGTATATTTAAAGAGCAGAAAAATAAGCAGAGTATATACTACATACAGTATACTTTACTATGTTATTGCAAACTAGCTAATAAGAATCTCTGACCCCATTGTCTCTATTACATACTTAAAAGCAATGACAAATTGCTAGCTCCTGCTAATACTTTATCCCTGAAGCAAAGGGCAGCAAATATGTTTTATTTTTTTAGTTTTTTTTTAAAGATTTATTTGTTTATTTATTCATACAAGCACTGGGTACAGTCAGAAGCATGGGAGGGTGAGAGAATCCACCAGAGCCAGAGCGGGGAGCAGAGCAGGCAGAAGGACTGAAGTACACTGCTGAGGGGAGCAGCGGGCGGCAGGAGAGGTCTGCGCGCCATGTGGGACCCTCCTCTCGTGGCCGGGGAGCAGCCGGGGATAGAACCAGCGCTGCAGAGGCTGCAGGCAGCTTCGCAACCCAGCACTCAACCGCTGCGCCACCAGGGAGGCCCAGCAAATATGTTTTAATGGGTCTTTAGATCCCTGCCAGCCAAAAGGTGGGCAACTAGACCTTGGCGAGTGCCAAGTGTAACATAAGAGTGCTGGACTTTGAGTTAGAACATTTGTGTTATCTCCTGGCAATCTGCTGATTAGCAGTATGACCTTGAGCAGGTCATTTAGCCTCTCTGAGTCCCATTTCTCCATCTATAAAATAGGAGCAAAGCATCCACTGATAGGGGTCACTGGGAACACTACTAACAAGACAATGTATGTAAAATCAAGCGATGCAAATTCAAAAGATACAAATGTCATCTTCACGCACATGCACTGAATTGAGTATTTCATTTATTTGTCTTGTGCTAAAAAAAGGTAAAAAAAAATACATAAAGTTTAGAAATTAAAAAAAATAAGTTCCTCTGGTCTGTGAAAGGTTATTGCTAATTTCCTTAATGTTAAACATAAACTCACCCAGCAACGCTATTTCAGTCCTATCATAACTGTCATGGTGTCATATGATTATTTCTATTTTATTAAAAATTCCAGCTCAAAAACCTAGTTGAAATAGAACATCAGGAGTTTTTTTAAATGATGCACAAGAATTATGTAGAAAAGCTCAACCATAAGTTTATCAGATAAATGTTCTAAAGCCTCAATTAACATAAATAAACACGATAACTCCCATTAAGTCAATGTACCTCAGGAGACAGTATCTTTGTGTAATTGGAATTTAATAATAGGAAACAAAAGAGTATGAATTTGAAGAACAGAAAAGAAATACATTCTTTAAAGAGTCCTGTAGGCATAAACAGGATATCTTGAGACATTATTTTATTCTGGAATTAAATGTACAATTGAAATAAGAATATGTTACATTTGCATAAGAATGAAAAGTTATTCTGAAAGGTCATCTTGCAAGATCAGGTTTTATGGTGGTGTGTGGAAGAGGCAATGTTCTGAAAATCCATTGGGAGAAACAAATTCATAAATATTAATAAATGGAACCATCATTACAAAATACTAAGCAGCATGTCAGTTTGGGTGGTTTTCATTGTCACAATATGTGGTTGATGTTTGGGCAAGTATCTTATTTTGAACTAGAGGCATGCATATTTATTTATACAGATCATATTCTGGAAAACTTGAACTTCTCTGAAACTTGCAGAATCACAAATTCTGAAATTTACCCAGCAAAATTACTTATTTTTAACCAAAAAGGACTTCACCATTTCTCACCTAGTTATTGCACTGATCTTGTCACTGACCTCCCTGCTTATTGTATCAATTCTTATGGCTATAAAGCTCTTTCTACAGCATTACTGTGGTTCCTGTCACATCTGCACAGAGTTTTAGAAAGGCTCCACATTTTATGAGAATTAAATTAAACCACTTTTGTGGCAGTCAATGCTTTCAATAAACTAGCACTTACTACTTCTTCAGATTTATAAGTATTGTTTTATGGCAATATCAACTTACCTGTAAATCCTATACCTGGCTATTCTCTCATTCCTCTTTCCACTGGCAATTTCTATACTAATATAATATAATGGGTATATGTCCCAGAATCTCTTTCTCAGCTATTCATGGCTTGAAAAGTTCCTAACCATCCTTCCTGATTCAATTGTCTACTTTGCAATCTTTTCTGACTCACCAAGTAGCCTTATACATGACTGCAGGCACTCCTTTATCTCTGATTTCATTATGCACATACCTTCCCAATAGTCCTTATTACATTGCACACTGATTGTATCTCTCCCCCACTAGATTATAAATTCTTAGATGATAGACTGTATAGTTTCATCTCCCCACCCTCAATAACTATACAGTGCCTGGCACAAAACAAGTATTTAATATATATTTGTTGAACAGAAAGAGCTGCTATAAAGTGTGATGAGGAAGTTAAGTTCTCAATGAAATGTGAGTAGCAGTTGTGTGTGCCACTTCTGAGTCATTTCCTTACGGGGAGGGTGTGCTGTTCTTTGCCCTATTTGCCCCTCCCAACAGCTTGGCATGTGGGTATGATTGTGCACCATTCTGGACCAAAGTCAACACTGAATGATTGGATGGGCAACAAGACAGAGGGGCACTTCTGCCCTATCACCATTTCCTTATGTTCAGTCTACCCCAAGATTGAAATAAGATTCTGCCTTGTTTAAGTTTCCTTTAATTTAATCTCTGTTATAGCAGTCAGTCTTCAACTTAATTTATACCTGACACTCTATTGTGATTTTTTATATATCTATTTCCCTTAGAAGATGAAATCCTTGAGATGAAATCCTTTAATATAAAGCTGTGACTTTATATTACTTATCCCTATGTCTCCAGTGAATCTTGTTCATATCAGTACTCAATAAAAGTTTGTTGGAAAATAATGAGAGAACGTATAAATAAATAAAAATCCCATGGAAATTGGCTTGCATTGTTATTGGTCAGTTGCCACATTGCCAGAGTCAATTGAAAATGACAGGATTCTAAACAGAATCTCAGCTCATGAAGGAAGAGGAGAAAGACCAATGAGCTACCAATCTGAGAAATCTGGGGAGCTATTCGGAGATGGTAGTGTAGAATGCTGGTTAAGACATATGACTCTTGAAGTGAGACTTCCTTTCTGTCTCTGAAAAAGTTATTTAGCTACTATGTGTCCTAGTTTCCTCGCCTGTAAAATTGGAATAATAGTACTTATTTCTTAGGATTTTTGCAAGAATTTGGTGAAATCATATGTGTATTTAGAAGTGTCTGAAACCTAATAAATGATGTATAAATACTGCGGCTATTATTTTTTCTTATCTTGCTTGGAAAGAGAAGGATAATAGTTTGACATATTGTCATTCACATCTGAAGGTTTTGAATAAATGATTCTTTTTCTGGACTGAATAATCTCAGATATTTTATTCTATTTTTCTTATCAGACTAATCTTCCAGTCTTAAAAATTGTTTCGGTGGACCTTCATCTTAGAGAAGTAAAAATAGTATTTTTGGTGTTTTGCTGTGATAACAGTTTTTTTAATCAACCCTTTAAAATCTCATCTATTCAGCACCTATTTTCTTAAGGTCATTCTCCATGCTAGTCACAATGGTGATATAATGTTGCATGAATTAGGTAAGAGGCATGCCTTTATGTGGCATGCAAATTCTTACTTGTAGAAACAAACTCTTTGTACCATTAACCACTTTTACCACTTACCACTTTTTCTAATTCTTTCTTCCAATAGGTCAGCATGGCCAGCTGGAAGTTTCTTATTGAAAATCTCAGCTGAACGAAGGAACATAGCTTCAACTGCAGACCCTTTCAGCAAAGCAATCTGATCTTCATGGTCCAATGTTTGAAATCCTGAATTAAGATGATAATGAAATCATTAACAAGAAGTTGTGAATGTTAAAAAAAAAGAAGTTGTGAATGTTGTATAACAATATTTCATCACCTCCATCAGCCCCCCCACTTATAAAACATTTCCATAAAGTTATTTTATAATTGTTTTATGATTGGGTGGTCCTGTAACATGATTAATATTTATTATATTCCCCCTTAATAGAAATTGGCTTTTATCTTCATTGAGGAGGATTTGCTGAACAAGAGGTAAAAGAGGTCAAGTCCATACCACATGTAGATACATGTGTATATGTGTGTATGCATGTACATGTATGTATATGGATGTGTGTATATACATACATGTATATACATGTGTGTACAGAGAAAGGCTCATTCTGATGAAGCAACCCTCAAAAATAAGAGGCAAGCAGATACTCATTGAGAGATCATTTTAGTCACAGCTGGTGTTAGAGGTAAATTCTGCAGAAAAGCATTCACAAATCAGAAAAATCTTTATATGTATCCAGAGATTTAAAGGAATATTTGACTTATGAGTCTAATCAATCTAGGTAATGGGTAGTATTTCCTCCACCCAAAAAAAGCCAATCAAGGTCATGTTGAGATATCTTCTCTGTGTTCAACACTACACTATGCAGGGTAGAGAGAATCATAGAATCAATGACCTAAAGAAATACATCGCTGCCTGGAAAATTCAAAGTTCTTTTCCAGACTTATGTGCTATAGTCTCCAGAAGCTGCTCTGACCTCATTTCCTCTTCCTCTTTCACCTTATTCATTGTGCTCTACCCCAGGGCCCCTGGCTCTGCTGTGAACACACAAGCCTGCTTTAACATCAGGAGTAAATGTTCTTCCCAGTTATCCCCATGCCTCACTACCTCACTGTATGTGGGTCTTTGTTTCAAGGTGACTCTACCTAAAATAGTACTCTCCAGTACTCATTAGTCCCTATGGTTTTATTTCTATTCACACAACTTACCTCTACTGATATATTATAGATTTATTTGCATAGTTGTTAGGTGTCTGATACCTCTATTAGAGTGTAAACTTCTTGGAGGCAGAGACTTTGACTATTTTGTTGACCTTTATATCTCTCATGCCTAGTACATATATGATACCCCAAATTATTTGTTGAATAACTAAATGACAATGATAATGAATGACTAAATAACAAGCTCAGTGCACAGGTATATAAACAGCCAACACAAATAAACTAATGTCATCAGGGTCTCAATGGCTTGGGATATGATTAAATAGTGACGGCAGTTTAGAGAAGAGAGTAATGCTAAGATTAAACATCACTATTTCATAAAATATAAGACTCCTTTGAGGGCAGGAGCCTTGCCAAATTTCTAGCACCCTGGACAGTGCCTGGTACAGGTTATGATCAATTGTACAATGAAATGACTCAACTAGGCCCTTCAGAAAATACCCTGTCATTATTGGTATTCATTACTATCATTGCTATTTGTAATAATTTTATTATTTTTACAATTATTGTTGAATTAATTTTTTTCCTTCTCAAGGGCTTTTTTTGTCTTTTATTTCTTTCTATATCTTTTTCCTTCTGCTTTACTAATTGAATATTGTTGTGCTCTCATTCTCCCTAAGTTGGGCACTGAGAATGAAGAGGTGTTACCACTGCTTTAAGATAAGCTAAGAAGATAGCTTATAAGTAAGATTTTCTTTTCCATTACTTCTTGGTTCAAGACCAAATAACCTTTAAAGTAAAAAAAAAAAAAAAACTTATAAACAATCAAAAATACCATATTTCCCTTTTCTGGTCCACTACTAGTTTTCACTCTCATATAATCTTGTTTCTGATCAAACTGCCTTAAGATTACTTAGCATATACCAAAATAACTTCCTTTTTCATTATAAATAAAGAAATGAGAGACTATTAATAGTTCAATGATAATGAGGACTTTCTCCCCATACCTTATGAGTTTTATGTAGGTCTATGTCTATCCATGGTACAGTAACACAGCAAAGTGATGGCAAAAAAAAAGGCAAATTAGCATAACAAGTTAAAATCCTATGTCAGAAGTTACTTTCTGTAATTTAATGTTAGTGTTACATCACTATTTATATTTACAGACCTGGCCTGGCGATTCTAATATCCTGATATATATTTAAAACACCAAAACAACTTAAACCTATTGAATAAGATCATATTAATAATATGGCTGAAAGAATTTGGGGCTGGTAAATAGGAATCTCACATTCTACTTTCTATCTTGGTACTGTCAGAATAACTGGATAAGAATACTTCTACCTCATCTACACTTACTCTTGCTCATCAAGTTCTATCAATTTTTTAATCTCTGCTTTTTCATCTCTCTCCCACTACTAATGTTTTATTTCAAGCCCTCCTGTCTGCACTGGTGCAGTAGTACACCAACTCATGTTTTTTGCCTCAACTCCCTTCCTATTCAAATCCATCTTATAAAACAGTCATATCTCTATAGTATATATCTTACTGCTTCTCTCTTAACAAAAAAGCCACCAAGAGCTCTTTATCATAAAGGGTAAGAATTCCATCCCTCAATTAAACTTTTATCGGTGTGGTACCAACACACCTTATGTCTAATCAAGGAACCCACCATATACATTGGCCACAATGAGTTTTCTCTTCCAGCTCTAATAACCTTATTCTTATTCACGTCTTGTTACATTTCACAAGGAGATTGCTCAACTTGGAATGCTCCTTCTTTTACATACACATGGAAAACTCCTTTTTTCTTTTAGACCCAACTCAAACATGATTCTGAAGTCTCCCTGTCTTTCTTAGATATAATGAGCAATTAATTTCTATATATAAAGTAGTCTTTAATCACTCTCTTTGGAGGTAATACCTAGGTGCTAAGTATAGATTAGATTATCAATAAATGTTTATTCAATGAGTAAATGGATGAATGTCAACTTTACAAAGTTTCAATTTTTTAGTCTATCCATTTGGAAGAATTATTATAAAAGATTTGAAATATCTGGCTCTAGCATTTCATGTCTATGGTAGTTAGATATATTATTTTAAGTCAGATGTGAGGTGATTCCATCTTACAATGAACAGACTGTCTCTTTCAATGTTACAATAATATTGCACAGTGTAGTAAAGAAGTAACTACATACAAAAATACCTGGCAGTTTTTTTGTGAATTCTACAAGAATCTGTACATGACTGGTAGCCATTTCAGTTAAAATGAGAAAATTTTCTTCTGCACTGAATTCTTCTTTTAACTAAATTTTAAGAAAAAAACAAATGATTAATAAGTAAATAAGAGGGTAAACCAATATAAAATTGTTAAATTAAGGAACCAGATTTTGAACATAAAATTTAAACCCAGCTCCTATTTTTCAGATCTTTGGAAAGAATTATCAAGATAGCTATGAAACTTCTTACTCTTTAATTGTTTAGTGTACTTAAAGTTTAAATGTATAACTTAAATTCTCAACTCTAATCATTTCAAAGTAACATATTAATATATAAATTCCACCCCCAAGGTAGTAAAATCTCCAGAAATGATTAACTTCAAATCCATGTATTTTCAGATATACATACAATTTTATTTGTTATTTCTTGAGGCATCCTCTGTTTGCTATATGAATCCATAATATAATATAGAAGATTCTGTTGATCTGGGGTGAGTTCAGTTTTCTCCTACACTGACAAAAAAATAAAAGGTATTAGGCAGAATAGGTATAAGGCATTTTTCCTAGATGTGCTTCAATCTGGAGAAAACCACTAGTAGGACTTGTTGAAAAATGTCCTGAATGTGGCAGAACCTATTAGCTCAGATATAACCTATATCTTTTTCTCTGGGTTCTTAGGCAAGTCATATCATATTTCACTAAGTTTGTTCCAAATCTCTATCTGAGAAAACAGGGATAACATTCCTTACATATATTTCCTAGAACAAACTTTAGTCTGAATATGAAACCTACTGAACTTTATTCATAGAGTTCTGTGAAAGTTCAACCTTCAATCATAACTTAGGAACAGTTTCCACGTGTAAAATGGAGGATCCATTTAAGAAAATCCATATAGAGCAGGTTCAAAAACTCTGGCCCAATGACCAAATCTACCTCTTAAAAAAATAATCCATTACAACAAAATAATTCTTGCCTATTTATGTAATGACTATGTTGCTTTTGCACTAAAATGTCAGATTTGAGTAGTGTGGTAGAGACTGTGCCGCCAGAACTTAAAATACCTGGCTCCTTAAGAAAAAAAAAATTGCCAATCCCTAAAGTAGAGTCATCAATATAGATAATTCAAACCCCAGATATCTCTTTCTCCATCACTAGTATCTCTTAAAGAGGGTGAATAATTGTCGGTTCTTCACTTCCTTATACCAAAGTGTTACTGAGGAGGCACTATGGCAAAACAATACTTTAAAAATTATTTTTTCTGAATACAAAATAATAAATTTGAAGAGCTAAATGTATACAAAGTTTTCTTTTTCAGCAGTATAATAAATGTTGAGAGGGACATGACTTGAATAATTATGGATTATTGGTTTTTCAACTAATGGTAAATTAAAATTACTCCAAATATTCTATGTATTATTATGATGCATTTAACTAATCATCCAAGATGCTACCAAGTAGTTCATGGATTTCTTCAGTGATTTATGATCTCAGTGGGAAAGACTTTTCTCTACTGGTCCACAACTTGTATATTACCCTTTGATAAAGATTATAAGTCTCTATTGAGTCCACATCCTTCCTTTTGGAGCCCCCTTCTCAACAATAGGGAATAAATGGTCATCAAAGCTTAGTTTGACAACCCATTTCCCAACAACAATGAATGGATAAGGAATTTGGATATATATCCACAATGAAATACTATTCAGTCATAAAAAGATGAAATTTTGCCATTTGAGCCCACATTGATGGACTTTGAAATAATGCTAAGTGAAATAAGTTGGAATGGAAAGGACAAATACCATATGATTTTATACTTTTGTGAAATATAAAGGTAAAAATAGCAAATAAAATTAAACAAATAAACCCTTAGACTCTGACAACACATGGTGGTTGCTAGAAGGGAAGGAGAGAGGAAAGAATGGATGGTGGGGGGCAAGTGGTTAGTGGTAAATGGTGACTGGACATTTGATGTTGGACATATTGTAATAAAAACAATTGCTAGAATGAGAAGCTGTACAACCAATACCTATATAGAATTAGAAACTAATGTTACCTCAATAAAAAGAGAAAAACTCAATTTGGAAAATCCATTTTAAACACCAAGCCATTTCCACTGGTAAACTCTTAGTAGTAAAACTAGAATGGAGCCAAGGAGTTAGAGAACCTTTACTTTTTTAACTGTGCTTGCTTGAATTTATTGCTTGAATTTTTAAACCAAAGTAAATATTCTTCCCGAGGAAGAAACTTATCTTTTGCACAATTGTAATGAAATTCTGCTTATGGCTATGGTCCTAATTTGAATGTCCCCCAGCCAGGTCAGTAACGTCAGCTGCTGGGCTTGGCAGGCACCATTGCATGTTATTACCCTGCATGACTTAGTTGTGGAGGTCACTTGTCTCAAGTCACGTCCTTCGCTGTCTTCATTAATGGTCTGATCTGCATGCTGCTTCACATTTTTTCTCAATCGTTTAGATTTACACTGAATTTCAGTTAACAAGCCTGAAAAAATAAACAGAGTGACTTCACCAAGCTCAGAAAGTACTGGTAGATGTGTGGTCACAAGATGGTTGATGTGTTGTCAGTGCCTGAATGCAATTTGGCAGACCAAAGTCTACACCTTCTAAACCTGTAAGACTTGGCCTTGAACCACTCTCTTTCTTCATTTGTAAAATGGAATTAGTATCAGTCTTAGATTAAATATTATCAGATCATTTTCTAAAATGAGATTTATATCAAGATTTTGCAATACCAAAGCATTGTACAAATACAAGATATTCAGTCAACAAAAAAAGTGAATGACACTACCTATTCCTGGTTGAGGGGATCTTGAAAGCTAGTCTTTTGAAACATAGTGTTAGTAGTATTTTTCACCTGTGATAACATAATTGTCACAAGAAGTAATACCCAATTTTACCTTAAACACATAAGTAAACATGGTGAGTGAAACATGGTAACATACTTTAGGGCAAAATTTTAAATCCGTTAATTTTCAGAATGATTATTCCTATGAATAAATCAGAAATTATTGAGAACATGGCTAAAAGTGAAAAGAACACAAGAGGAATTTGAAATTTTCTTTTGAATGATCATACAATAATCATCCTTCATTTATACTCAAACAGCTATTAAAATAATGTAGATCAGCCACATTCTCATTCAACTTCCTTACTCTCTTAATGTTAATGCAACTGAGTTCAAGGAATTTCTTTGTCCATACAATTTCTTTAATAGGATCCTAAGGAAGCGCTGCCTCTCTTTTGGGATGAGTTTGTGTTCATATATAATATTGGAGACTCTTGTAGATGGAGTCTTGAAAAAATGCCCTCAATGCTTGTTGGAACAAGTTCATATTTAAGTGATGAGCTACATGAGCTACCCAGTATGAGAGCGTTTCCACTGCTCGATTGGATTTCAGCAGCTCCCTGCTGTAGTTTCTTGTTTCATATATGCTAGGAGGAGATTGCAATCAGCCACTATAAAACTTTCATCTACCCAGATCTGGATTATTTTACACTGACCTGTTTTTCTCTCTCCTGCACACATACTATTTCTGAGTCTTTCCCAACTGCCTGTGTAGTTTGGAGATAGCAGAGCTGGAGTCACCTTCCAAGACTTTCATGTCTTTTATTTCTGAATGTCTCCATCCCCTGGCAACAGTTGTTTGTCTATGTGTGTTTTGAGGAGGAATAGGATATATGTCAGAATCTGAGTGGTCTGTAGTTTGCAGAATGAAGAATTAACATGTTCCATACTCTCATGCATTCCAAATTTCAATGAAGATTATGTTTCCTTGCAAAATCAACAGTTAATACAGTACCTCTTTATCAGATCCCAGGGCTAAATTGTATTAAAAGTCGGAGTAGTTAATTTCCTGTGTAAACCTATACAAATTGGTTCGACGCTGAACTGTGGGAAGAGAGAATCTTAATGAAAGACTTGGTTTAAAACTCTATTTAGACAATTCTGAGGCAGTTATACTTTAGAAAGCATTCCAAATTTTTCCTGCAACTGTGAATTTTTATGCTAATTAAAGAACAAATAAGAAGGATAGTAAATTAAATTTAGAGGAAACCTTCAGACTGTTGTTATTGTGTTACTTTTTCAGACACACTATTAAAACTGTAGGTTCACGCCACTTCATGCATAAATCGCTGGAACAATGAGCAAAACACCATCAGTTCCCTCAGATGAATAAATGCTCTTTGGCTGGCAATTTGGACATTTTCAGGGGTTCATTACTCTTTTCAGGAGCTTCGGTAATTTAGTAAACCCCTTCTTAAATATAGGAAGCACCATTCTAATCAGATGAGTTACCTGACATCTGCCTTGAGAGATTTTTAGTGGAATTTAGTTGCGTGATGCAAATACCTGTATACATACATTCAGCCAACATTCCCATCTCTTTGCATTTCCTGAGCCGACACTCTTGGCACTTTCTGCGCATGTACATGTCCATCACACAGTTGCCCCCGTTTTTGCACTTGTACACAGCATTTTTGGTAATGCTTCTCCTGAAGAAACCTGTGGAACAAACGCAGGAAGGAGTAAAAAGTCTCCTCTGAACAGCTTCTACTCAAGGACACATTAGGATGGAGAGATGCTGCGCACCTCCTGGCCATCCTGGCTCAGCTGTCAGGCCATCTTTTGTAGATGCTGGGGACAGAGGTGCTTTCAACAGCCTGCATCATCCAGAAAGCTGCTGATTTTAATTTCTTATTCAAAAAGAAAGACACATTTGAGTTATGCAGTCTCTCTTAGGAAAGACCTTAGTATGTTCTTTAAGATATATTGCTTTTATTATCTCTTTGTTGGGGGATATTACCCCAGTGAGCTCCAGGTGTTGATGGTACAAAGGTAAAGAGGTCATTCCCACCCGCCTAGAGTTTACAGGTTGGTGGAAGGCAAAACCAGGCAGACCACCAAACCCGTCCCTGGGGTGGGACGGAGGAGAATGGTCAGGTCTAGATGAGGAGGTCAGACTCAGAAATGAGCTAAGTCCTGGAAAATGAGTTCCTGTTTACCAGGCAGGGAAGGAGAGGTCACATTCAAGGTTTCAATTCTGTTCTAACTGTGTCCAGCCTGGTGTAGTGATAAAAATGTCAACTTTGATTTAAAAGCAAACATCTCCACTGAGAAGGTGTAACCCACAGTCAGCTACAGTTAAGCTGTTTAGGGGCAGCTGGGGATGTGACTGTTTCCCTTCTGCTTCTCCTTTTTCCTCCTTGCCACTATCCTTGCAGATATGGTTAAATGCCCTTTAATGCCAGGCAAAGAGCTGAGCCTTTACTATTCAGAAAGAAGTTACCAGGGGATTTGGCAGAGGAGTGTAAGACCTAACTTGCATGTTGGGGAGACTCTTTGGGGCATATAAAGAATGGTGCAACAGGAAGACTGGAGGCAGAAGACTAGATGGGAGGGTGGTATAACAGTGAGAACATGAAGGAAGAAACAGGAACATTCAGGTTAGGGAACTAAGTCAATTTGAACACAGGAAGAAGTCAGAGTAAAGGTGTAAAAAGTCACAGACTTGCTCAAAATTTGTCAAGTGGCATAAAGTTCAGTAGGAAGACCTTAACTTTCCCCTAAATGTTGACTGAAATCACATAATCTAAAATAAGACTGTGCTTCATATTAGTGTTGATAATGACATTGCAAATGCCAAAGCATGCATTTTAAAAGAAACCAAAGGCAAAAAATAATTTTTTTCTTAGTACCAAATATTAAGCTCAGTGATCACTTACTTTGGCCTATTTGAGTCAATCTTTCCACTGATCTTCAGCCTCTCCCAGGAACATTCCCTTTAAATCATAGCCAGAGATGCTGATAGCGCAATAGTTAACAGAAATAAAACTCTTTATTCTAAGATGAGTCAGTCAAAGGAACAGAGAGCTAGGACAATTCTGCAGGTTTGTTTTTTTTTTTTTACTCTGGTATTAGCTGAGAAAGAAATCATTATCATCTCAATAGCTGAATTAATTAGCTTTCACTCAGAGGTGGCAACACAATATTATCATTATATCACTTAAATATGGGTACATATACTGTATTTATACTTATGCAAATCTATCCACAACCATACCTCTGCCTCTATCTTGTGCATATTCAACAAGGCCCATATCAGAAAAGTCATTTGAAAATGAATGGAAAGGAAATTCACTGCGAAACACAGGCTCCCTGATAATAAAAGATGAGTGGAAAGTACTGGCATCTCCATCTGAGGAATCCCTAGCATTTAGGGGGCTTCCTGGAGGTGGCAGGTAAACAGCTACAGGAAGATAAGATAGATACCAAAGATGTTACACACTTAGACACTCTGCTCCCAACTCACGCACACACACACAGACATACACATGCACACATGCAGGCATGCACACTCACACAGGCACACCGAGCTCCAGTAGGTGACACTGAGCTACCAGCTACTTAGAAATCAGTAAAATGCTGGTTGACAGTTTGCTTTGAGGATCTTTGCATGTTTTTTTTTTTTTTTTTACTGAGCTGAGAGGCTTTTAATCTTTACATCCAATAAGACCTAAACGAGACAGTTTTTCGGTCAGTTTCAGCACACTGTAGAATAAGGACTCTCCCATCTACTTATTAGATCTTGTTTAGTATCAGGCACTGTTTTAACCACTTTGCATATGGAGATTCACTTAATGTTCCTAACAATCCTTTGTTGTACACTGTCTTCCTTTAGCAGATAAGGAAACTGATCCGACAAAGAGATTAAGGTGCAAAGTTAAGGAGCGTGCTCACTTTTGAGCCTTGGCCATCTTGATCCCCGGCCTCCAGCGAGGGTCCCACATGGTGCGACAGACCTCTCCTGCTGTGCCCGCTGCTCCCCTCAGCAGTGTGTTTTGTCAGCCCGCCTGTTCTGTTCCCCGCTCTGGCTCTGGTGAATTCTCTCACCCTCCCGTGCATCTGGCCTGTACCCAGTGCTTGTATAAATAAATAAATAAATCTTGGGGGGGAAAAAGGTTTATTTTTATTTATTTATGCATACAAGAACTGGGGTGTGGCCTGGAGGTGCAGGGGGTGAGAGGATTCACCAGGGACAGAGTGGGGAGCAGAACAGGCAGATCTACTGAAATACACTGCCAAGGGGAGCAGCAGGAAAGGCAGGAGAGTTCTGCTACGCCATGTGGGGTCAGCTCCCTGACCAGAGATTGAACTCATGTTGTGGTGGCTGGCAATAGCTTGATAGTGGTGAGACTTTACCCCTTGCGCCACCAGGGAGAAACTCTATTCTCTTAATGGCTGCATTAAGCTGTCTTGCTAATCAGGAGCTTACATTCCTAACAATTGGCTGTTAACAGTAATTTGCCCAAATCCCACCTTAGGTAAGAGAGGGAACACAGGAAATTTTTGAGATTTTGCAAGTAGACAAGAAACTGTACCGTATTGAACCGGTGGGAAGGCTAGGTTACCTCACCTATGTCTCCACACAAAAGCGGCTTCTCTCTACAGCTGAGTTATGGAAAACTCCTGCCCGCCCCTACCCCCCCACCAACCTGTCCTCCCACAGGGCCAAAGCCTATACAGAGATGCAAATTTAACCAGAACTTAAAGCAGCTGGGTCCTGGCACCAGAAGCAAGTACCTCAGAGCAAGCAAGGTTCTGTACTAGAAGATGAAGGGAACTAAGACTGTTCTAACAATAACCCACTCTGGTGCTACCACTACAGAGAGAGGATTGAGAAAGGTTGTGGGCAGGTGGTCTTTTGCAGAAGGTGTATGCAAACCTTAAGGAGTACACACCCCTTATTCTCCTGTAATCAGAAAGGGTCCTATAATCAGAAAAAGGATTCAAATTACCAATCAGAAACAAAAACAGCAGGCCTCCCTGGTGGCACAGGGGGTTAAGACACAACCTATGAAGCTTACTGCAGCCACTGCAGCATGAGTTCGATCCCCCGCCAGGGAGCAACCCACATGGCACAACAGACCTCTCCTGTCTCGCCCGCTGCTCTCCTCAGCAGTGTATTTCATCAGTCTGCCTGTTCTGTTCCCTGCTCTGTCTCCGGTGAATCCTCTCACCCCTCACACCTCTGTCCTGTACCCCTATTCTTGTATGCATAAATAAATAAATCTTTAAAGAAAAAGGAAAAAAAGAAACAAAAACAGGGCCATTGCTACTAATCCCATAGACACTGAAAAGGACAATAAAGAAATATTAGAAATAAAGACTCTGCTTTCTCTTTTCCTTTGTGATTTGGGGAGGGGCTGTGGCTCTGTAGAAATAAACAGACTATCCAAAATAAAAATAAAAGGTTGTTAGTGGTTGTCTTTGGGGAGTTGGACTTGAGATTAAGAGAGCTGGGCCAGGGCCTGTCCCAAATATGTCTTGTACCCTTTTGGTTTTTGAATCATGTGTACTCATTGCTTTGACAAAATGCTTATTAAGTGATGAAGTAATCCAAAGGAGTTAAAAGCAAAAGTCCATTTATACCCTCATGCCCCCTAGGTGTTCATTGGGATGGTGGATTGAGTAGGTTATGATGTACTGTGTGAGCTTGGTTTTGCATATTTTTAGGAGGTATTTAAACTCCTAGGAGGGCAAACTCCCAGGAGCTGGAGGCTTGCACAACTAGAGTGTCTTTTAGTCACTACTTTGATATTTACATATTGCTTATATATTTAGTTCAAATATTTTTTTTCTTGTTTAATCTATTTTTTTCTTCAGTTTGTCTTGTATCATTGCTATATATTTATTTGAATATTTTTAAATCCACTGGAAGTCTTACCTTTGTTATTTAATATTTGTTCTTTTAGCTATTATATTATTGCTTTTCTAGTTTTATTTTTGTTATTGTTTTCTCTTTTTGTCTACTTTAGCTCAGTTATGTAAACTGTTTTTCTGTTTTACTTTAAATGGTGACTATGCACGCAGTAATTCTGTTTATCTTACTCACCACTGCATCTCTTATGCTTAGTTGGTACATATTATTTGCTGGACCAAGAGGTGAATTAACTCACATCCCTAGGAACTAAAGCTTTCATTAATTAGTTAGTTAATTAATAGGAAAAGAGATAGTTCTGAAGATAGTCTAGGATTCAAATTAAGGCAGCTGGATGAGCAGTCAAATAACAATGATAAAATAATGAGAATTCATCAACTTAGCTGTTGCTTATTGAAACTTCCTTAACCTTCGTGACAACACTAGATACTAAACTATCTCCAATGAGGAGTCTGAAGCCTGACCATGGAAGTTAAGTTGGAATAACCGGGAAGAGAATCCTCTGGGGTTGAAATCTAGGTTGTCTTCCTTGAGAGTTCTACCCTTCCCATGATTTTTATAACTGATTGCAAATGGTTTCCAAAGCAATGGAATAGTCTGGAACTCCACCTTGCATTATAATCTATGATAATTCTAGTTCCTAATTCTCTGGGTTCATTACTAAATGATAGAGGTTTAGACTTATTTGATCTCAAGTAGGACTTTACTAAGTTTGTATGTGGGCCAGGATGCCTCAGTTTACAAATGCCCACTGCAAACACTTTATATGTAGTCTATACATCGG